TTATCTTACTAGATGATACTGTGTTGTATAAAAAATAGTCTGCTTTAAATATTGGCACGCTATAAATAGTTGAGAGTAGTGAAAAATAATAGAATACATAGGGTTTTACAGATGTCCCTCATAGTTCTTATACAATCATTAGGAAATAAGAGATGTTTATTTATCTACAGTTTTGTCGAGTAAATTTTGTATGTAAAACAAATAGACAAAATAATTAAGAATATATTAAAACAATTCTAAGTAACCAATAATAGTCATAATATTAAAATAGTAAATTATAACAAGTAATAACGTTACAAAGGCTGTTCGTAAATCATATTGCGATTTGCGGCGTATTCAAAGTAACAATGATTATTACATTCTATCACGTAATTACTTAGAATGAATTTAATTAACAGAATTGCAAATTTGCAAATAAATTGCGGGTCACAGTTTATATTTTATGTTATAATTTGTAATTACAGGTTCTCTGTGCGTTCGTGCGAAAGACGTTGTAAAATAGCGTCTGTGCATGCAATAAGTATTTATGTTCAGTGCTTTGAGAAACATCTGCATATAGTAAGTATTTTACATTTGGTATTTTACTTTATAGAAATAAATATTTTTATTTGTATTGAATTGTTTTTGAGTGTAGACAAGGGTGAATTTAATGTTGCCTCGTTGTATCAGTGGTCGTGCATATTGTACACATAAAAAAATATTTCCTATATATACTTACATTTTTTATTATTTTAGATATTTTATAAATTCATTGTCATTATTTATGTCAAATAATAGTTAAATTGCAATTATATGACAAGTAATTTAACCGATTGCAGTATAGCCAAAAAGCAATACATATATATACCGTTGTGGTAACGAAGCAATGGAAACATTCATTGTAGCCATTTTTAATTTTAAATTTATTTATTTATTACGGAATCCAATATTTATTTTTCTCAGCGATTCAACTTCTGAATTAATTTGCGAAATAATTGGTCATCAAAGACAATTAAGCAATTATGTTGCTCGTAAATTTAACCTCAACAATAGAATGAAAAAAAAAAATACGAAATAACTTATTAATTAATATAATAGGAGGAAAACAGTAATGAAAACAATTGCTTGATTTGTTAAATTATGATAATAACGTACTGTTTGTTGAATGTAAAATTTTTAATCAATATTAATAAGACTTAAGATTTTTTTTTTTTATCTTTTGTAAGGCGCTTAAGATAGTGTGCGGGTTATATTTAAGTATAATAAGATATCTTGGTTTCGCGTCATCACACAAGATTTTTTTATATTAAAGAGAAAGATTAAATTAAAAACAAAGCTTCGTGGATCTAGACTAGGATATAAGAAAACTATTTGGAACATTAATAGTTTTATTAACTCATTACACTTGAATTATTTCATGAAAAATTTTATATTAATTCTCTTTGATGTTGACTTATGTCTAGAAAAAGTTTGAACTTTTCACAATACAAATGTTCATTGTTAAAATTTTTTCGATTAATTAAAATTTGGCTTATTCTATATAAACATTTCATTTTCATTGAGTTATATTTGACATTATAGGAATGCTGTGTTTGAGAGTTGTTTATTATCTCACGTCAAGTTGTAATTGACAATAATAGTGTTAACTTGCCTAGTTGCCAATTAATTGACAATAAACTCTTGTACTGCGTTATAAGACTATTAAATGAGACGAGGAAAAATTTTATAATTTCACATGATTATTTTCATTACGTAGTGAATGTTTTTGAAACTAAATAATTCTGCTTATAAACGTAAAGAATTATTTTTCAAAGACCAAATTTTTAGGTACATTACAATTGAGTTGTTGTAAGTAATAAGTGACAATTAGGCATTTTTTCACATATTTGACCATAATTATTTTTTCATAGTGGTGGCCTATTGGTTAAGGGGCTCGCCTTTCATTACCGAGGGCGCGGGTTCAAACCTGGCAAGTACCAATGTGATTTTTCGGAGTCATATGTACTTTCTGAGAGTATTTAGACATCACTGACATACGGTGAAGGAAAACATCGTGAGGAAACCTGGACTTATAGTTTCACAATTTATAGTTTGACTTATAGTTTGAAATCACCAACCCGTCTTGAGCAAGTGTGGTGATTAATGCTCAAACCTTCTCCATGTGAGAAAGAGGTCTTTGCTCAGCAGTGGGCGTCTGACAGGCTGATGATGATTTTTTCATTTGTAGTTCTGTCTTCATAAGTACTTTCACTATGGGATAGCAATACAATATAGTTGTGATTTGATGTTGTTATAGGTTTTAAGCAATTATATTCTATGCCACAGTATATTTAATTGCCATTTTTAAAATAATTAGAGAATTCTACATCAAACTATCGGCGAAGATCTATTAAGTACTTAATTACTGGGTGTTTAGTTTGACAAAAAATAAAAACAAGAAGAGAAGTTAATTTATATGAAACTAATGAAAACATCACATTACTTTTTGTTATAAATATTTAGATATACAATAAAATATTCGTGAATGTGTATTGAATGAAAAAAAATTAAGTCAGGATGCACCTGCGGTACGAAATATTCTTTTACGTGAATTATTAATTACTCCGCTTGAGGGCTCCGGTACTGTTAATATTACTTTCCATTGTAATAAGCTTTTAATAAACATTACGTATGAAATTTATTCGTACTGTTTATGTAAAGATAACTTTAATAGTAAGATTTTATACGATATTTTTACTGTAACGCCTTTATGAAGTACGAAGTAACTTAATTACAAAAAATAATGAATAATCCGTTAATATTGTTATTTGTAATTAATAATAATAATAATACGTGCAACAGCTTTTGATTTAGTACAATATAATACTCATTTTATGCTCCGCAATAATTTCATAAAAATATATTGAGTACCTATGTACTTAATATCTGACCATTTCTTTGGTAATAGAGTTAAAACGCGATAGAATTAAGAAGTTATTTATACATTCAATGGCTTCTGATATTTATAGACGATTACACATTATTTATGTTAAGAAAGAACGTTATAATTAATATCCCCTCTGTGTGAAAGTCAGTGATTAAAAACTTAACATTAAAAAAGGGTTTGTTACAAAAAAAATACATGAATGAGTAATTAGATAGGTAAAGAATTAATAACGAAACAATTATTATCATGGCACAGGTTAATGAAAACTATTCTTCCAATTACTTTAAACTTGTATTAGTATAATCTTAATAAAAGTGGAAATTAGGTGATAAAAAGCATAAATAAGTTCTCTGTTTTTTAATTAATCTATATCAAAGTTATGTAGCCGATGGAAATAACTATCAGGTGTCACGCGAGACTAAGATCTTAGTACTGATATATTTTATCAATTAATATAGAATTAGGTCAAAGACTAAATTAGTTTTACAAAAGGTTAGTTAATAAGAATGTTTATTTTTCAATGATAATGTAGAGAGTATTTTATTATATATTAATCCTACATCCTATAGTATTTTTTTTGCTGCAACGGTTTTAATTTTTCCTTTTGTTACCATAGATACGATGCGAAACCATTACGAAAACGGGGGAACATAAAATAAAGTATTACCAATAAAATATTAATATGCAACGTATAAAACGTATGTAATACAAATTTTTCTCATTACATTAATTATGAGGGCAGATGTTATGAAGTATTGTATTTGCCGTAATCGATTTCGCTGTTCAATTTAGCGCAGGAAGCGGCTGGTTAGTGACGTCACGAGGCTGGTACCGCTGGCACAAGTACGCAGCAATACTGGCAAGGCTTTTATTTATTGCACACACATTAACCTATTGTGATGGCTTTAACGGCTTTAACGGCTTTAATTATGATTATCGTGTATGATATATGTTTAACGCGGTGGTGAATGTACCATTGATAAGTTAGTTAACTATTTGTTATGTGTAAAATAATTTTATAGGATGATCTAAAGCAAGTGAATATCGTACAGCGAATATTATTAAACATGAGTTAATCTTAATGTATCAATAAAATTGTTAATATATATAAGCAAATAGATAAAGCAATCAGCGAAGTAATTAAACCAGCAGTATATTGAAATCCATTAAACATTTTACGTTAAAAACAATTAAAAGATAACTATTTTAATTACAGTATGTTATGTTGTTTTCTTCATTTAACCTATCATCATTATATATATTCATTCTAAAGTTAAGCAAATTCAAAGGAAATGCTTCTAACATTTACAAGCTTGTTAGAATTGTTAAGAATATGTATAAAATGGTGTAACACAAAGATATTCAAGCTATGGTAATAGGTAAATAAAATTAGTATGTATTTTTAGAATGAAGCTATTTATTTAGCATTTTTGATTATAACTTTACTCAAAACTGAACTCTTTGGTGCAGATAATAAAGATAATAATCTTGTAAATAAGAAAAATACAATAAAATAAAATTGCAAATACATTTTCTTTCATACAATTTATTGCATTGAATAGAAATAACGTATCGCTTATAAATGATAGCTAGAAAAAAGATTATAAAGTTATCTATCCCTATTCTTATGTCAATGTTTTTTCTAGCTTGTATAATATACATTTCAATAAAAAATGCCAATCGCTTCTATAGATCACTGACAAATGCCATTTTCCTGTCATTGTAAGTCGTGGCATAACATATATAAATACTCGTTGCAAAATTATCATAACGTTCACTAGTGTATGGAGGAATTAATAACCGTTACAAAAGATATTTAATATGAATAATAAAAAATTATAAAAGATATCTATTGATTTATTCATAATATTAATTACATGTACATAATATTAAAAATTACTTTGCAATTTCATTTGATATTATAGAAATAATTAAGCAAATCAATTGATATATTTAATCAGTAACGGCTGATAAATATGAATGAAATTAAAATTTATTTAAAAAAAAATCATATGTATATTTATAAATTAGAATGTTAAGTATGTGTATATTTTTATATTAGTGTGTTATTTTATATGATACATATAAAGCGTACCTTCGTTAGTGTTAACATGTCCGTCGGCCGGGCGGTCGTGGTCCTCTCCACCGACGAGGCTTCTGATGCTGAAGGAGCTGCTCTTCCTGGACACTTCGATCACCCCCGTGACGTCACTCGCCCCATTAAAACCCCGGCACTGTTCCTTCCCGTTAACAACCTCGCCGTCCTCACAGCGCCTCGTTGTCAGGTCCATGTTCGTTATTATCATCAATGCAACATATATCATGTATCATTGTCACACACAGTATAGTCTGATATCCATTTCAACAACTCACTATATCGATAGAACTGGTTAAGTCGGAGCGGTGGTGACGAGCGTTGGCTCCGCGGCTGTAACCGAGACTGGTCCTCGGGCCTCATCGTGCGGAGTGACTCCGGCCCTCCCTACGCCTCAAAGGCGGAGCGACGCCCCTTCAAACGACATTTCCATCAACAATTACCACACACTTACACCACACACTTTAAAACTATCGATCTGCTCTAATGAGATGTAATTGTGCTTAACGATTGTTGAACATCGTTTAGTACTTCGAGGCAATTTTCATGTTCATGAGGGCCAATTATAAAAAGTACGTCCTGTGAAAAGAATTATTAATATATATTAGAGTATAATTATATTTTTAATACAAATATTATTATGTATACCATATTGTTTGTTTAGAAACGAGTACGAGGGTTGCTGATTGTTTTATTGCTGTCGTAAAATATAATTTGCTTACACAAATAAAATAAAATAAAACTTATACGTGAATAAAAATTTAATTGAAGTCGTTAAATACAGATAAGCCGGTGGATTAATATATAGTACCGGTTAATATACAGGTACATGCTTAGGCGTACTGTTGATAGTTATTATAATAGCTATTAAATATTGTAAATAATTTCGTTTAAGTTCATATTATTGCAAATTAAATATTATTGACAATTCTATAGGGTCGTCAAATTATAGTTTTTAAATATATCTCATTAATTTTCACAACTTTTAATACTTCTTACGAATATGGACGGGATTTAATTTTTTAAATCTAAATTAATAGAATAGTTCTTTTCTGTTGTATCAATCAATATTTAATTAAATTTACGACAGTATCAACCCTAGCGAATCTACAAGTCTTAGAGCGATACATTCTAGTTAGTTGAACATTTGTGCCGGAGGCGAGTACGTCGGAATTTATTATATTGTTATGATCTGTTACAGCCAGATAGTAACAAACAGGACAAACATACTTATATATAGTGATATTAAAATAGAACTGATTAATTGCTTACTGAAATTAAACTCGCAAGTAACTAATACTGTATGGTATGGTATTATGCTTTCGAGTAACCAAAGTTATATGTGAAATTTTAATAATAAATTCGATCAAAATGTTCATCAATATAACTTAATTATGATGAGTTTTAGCAGTTCATTGAACTTTCAATTAAGGACTGAATTATCTTTGATATAATATAATATTTGGTATATAAATGTTAAGGATACGTATTAATGGAGATCGTAATTGGTAAGTTAATATTCCTAGGTAGAGTAAAACGTCTATTTTACACTGTAACAGCGGGAATCTCTGCTGCTCACTAAGCAGCGGGATGCGGTAAAAACGACACCTTACAAGATATAGAGGGTACAAACACATTATAACTAGATATCATTACATTATACTGTTGATAGATGCGAATTTAATACCTTTTGAGCTGATTGAAGTTTATAACTCTACATTCTGACACGAACTTGGTATAAACTGTGAGTGTTATATAACTATCCTTTATTCTTCGTATTTTTTGTCAATATTTTTTTATCCAATATTATTCATTCATATATAAATATATAGTATGTATTATAGGTATTTTTATTATGAAAATTTAAATTATATATAGTTCTTCGGAAGTATTTCTCAATATCTTCTATCTCAAAGATCATTAGAGGTGGGAAAGTTTTTACTCGGTTTCTACAATAAAGTGTTAAAACTACGATATTACAAAGTACCTAATGGTTAAAAAATATATAATTAATGATACTATTTATTTAATATTTTGTTATACAAGTTTAGTATGAGGGAAAATCTTGGGTATTATTCAATATTCAATATGGCCTGTTTTTATGAGTCAAACCTTTTAAGTTATTTATGACACACCATCAGTCTGTCTCAAACATCTGCTCCGCTGACAGAATACTTCTCTGGAGCTCCCAAAAGTTATTTAAAATCATTAATTAATGACGTAAGTTAGTTGAATGTGAATAATTGACTTTGAGTTTTAACTGAGTATTTTTTTAGTTAAATCTAATATGTCTTTGCATATTTAATGCTTTACAGTTTTATTGCTTTACACTTTTTACAGTTCAGTTTAAAAGATTTATAGATGAAAAAATAATTTTCTATATAATATAAAACGTTAATCTCTTGATATTTTTGTTAAATTAACATATTTTTTTAATTAACAATAATTCTTTCTATGTATGTATATGTATTTTATTTTTATAATTTACGTGTAAAAATATTAAGAGTATATTTCGTGATCTGAGGACTTTCGTAAAACTTGCTTTTAAAAAAACAATTGTCTAAAATATGAAAGCATTTATTACAAACCTAATATGACTTGTCGAGTAAAAACATGATCTCGCGTAGAACGAACTACTGTATACGTTTTTTGATGGTTCAAAATATAATAAAAAGCGTCGTTAACTTAAGAAGCTATTTGAAAATATATTTATAGAAAAAGTGAACATTTTTTACAACGATTTTTTAACAGAGGCTTTATAGTTTTAGAGGCTGTATAGTTTTAGAGGCTTAAAATATGAAACATTAAATTGCTATAGATTCAAAATAAACTATATAATAGTACTGGGAATATAATATTTATAATACATAAGAACATTATGACGTATCTAGTACTAATTGGTTTCGCTAACTCAATTCGCTGAAGACGGAGATGTTTCCATCTAATTTCCTACCGGTAATGAAAGTAATCAAGACCTACACGCACGTAATCGCTATTAACTAATATTTGTAAAGCAATCGTCGTTACATTCACATATAAATTGCAGTTGCTCTCCGATTGGCGCCGGCGCACACAAAGCAGCCAACTCGACGGGGCGTCCGCCTCAATTATAACGAAGAACCGAATACTGGCTCCATCACAGAACCATAATTTCAATCAATCGCTATCACAGACCCGATTAGTACAATACTATCTGATTGTCAGTTCACTTAAACGGCTATCGAGTGTTCGCCGATGGGGACTCTTGTTTCTATTTGTATGGTAATGCTCTCATTATCAGAGACAAAAACTGTGGATGTTATAGAAAATGTTAGGATTTATGGCTGGCCCTCTAAAAACTCGATCTCTGAGGTCTAATGAAATGTATAAGAATTCGTTTGTCAATAACGTATCATAATGTGGCGCTTGTGTGGTAATGTTTTGAAAGGTTTTTCGATCATCTTCAAACATACATAAATAATGTGGTTTCATTTATTTTAATTTCCTCCGGAGCTTAATAATTCAAAGATGTCTCTATAATCAAGCCGGATTGTTTTGTGTGAAACTAATCACCAGTGTTGGAAAAACGTGAGAAAACTTTACTAGTGTCTAAGATTTCATTCTAGCAATCATCTTGAACATCCTGTATGTAGTGTATGGACGTGTGAAGTCAAAACTGATATTAACATACATTAGACACATTCACACAGAACACGCTAATGTATTCTTCATCTATATGAAATAAGCAATTTAGTTTTAGTAAATTTATATTTTAATTATGTTAAAATTTTTAAAGAATCTTATTATAATTTTTGTATATATATATTATGTTGATGTACATTTTGTCTTAATATTTTAGATTGATTTCCATAGTATAATTATACGTAATTATAGGTAATGAATTATACCTATATTATGAAATAGGTCATTTAAGATTTTGTATGAGTCCCTCAGAACATTAATCTAATCGTAATTCAAAATTCATCCCTTTATCATATTTTGATATCTAAGATTTTAACTGCTAATCGACAACAGCTTCAACTTTTTCGGATACTTTGACTTTTAACCCAGCTATTTCAAATAATTCTTCGCCACTGAAAGTAACAGTTAAATTCTCCATTACATTAGTTCATAGTAAGGCGATTGCATAACTTGTAAAAAGTATATATCTATAAATAGATAGTTATCTAAATAAGTAAGTATCAAAAACTATATAAAGAAAATCCAAGTCATCGTTTACATTTGAATAGTTGCAGTACAAAGAGACCGCTTGTACTGGGGTATGTATTAACAAATTATTGACGCTTGTAACAGATATGCCTCTAAGTTAATGATAAGGGAGTATATATTTACAGTTTGTGTGCAGTCTTATATATTATAATATTATTAAGATCCTAGCAGAAACAGAAAGCCAGATAGTAGATTTCTAGCAAATAGGAGATTATTTGTTTATATAAATTAAGTTTTTACATATGTTGGTTTTATAATATTCATCATACTAATATAACAATTGTTCTGAGAGAAAAGGATTTAGTTTATTTTATTATTAATTTATTAATATAGTTACATAGCTTTTATGTTATATTTTTATTATATTTTTAGAGATATATTCATCAAGATAGTTTTCACAAATGACTACAATGTATAGGTGTGCTGAGACAAGGAATTATTCGGTATATATATTATTTCATGTTTAATTCCAATTTTCCTAATACTTATATTAGCTATTACAATCAGTCACTGAAGGAATAGAATTCCTAATAGTTGTAAAAGGTACCAATTTCACGCATTGCGCAGGCGCATGTGCAAGACGCAAGTCACTCCCGAATAATCAGAATCGCTTTGTTTCAAAGGACACCGCTCCGACGGCGCCATTCGCAAACACAAACAGGTTATAATTAAAAATATTGATTTGCTCCAAATAAATAAATATAAATAAATATGTTACGGGCCATTTTATCAATGAAATCTAGATAGCAAATGAATCATATGATTCAGATTAAAATAAATGTAAAAGATAATTCCATTAATCTATATCAACAAAATATATACGAAAATTATTTTACGTAATTAAAAATATATAAACAAGTGTCCGTAATTCATTTCTATTTCATAATAATGTAATTAATTTATGTGTCCGTGTGGTTTTGTGTCTATTTATCGGTCTCTTCATTTGTCAGTACGGTGGCTCACGGCGCAGTCACCGCAATCCGTGTACACGCCCACTAATTCAATTTACATCGCTCTTGG